GAAACACGCCCCTGCTTTAACGTTTTTGAAACAAAAAGTTGTGGGGGTTTTGAGTCAAACTGGCTTTTTGTTTTGAGATGTTTGTGAATTTAGAGTGGGGAAAAAAGGTTTGAAATATAAAAAAGGTCAAAATCAAAATGAAACATTTCCATAGGAGCTGACTCAGTGGGTGCTCCGGGGCTCAAGAACCCCCTGAAAAAAATAGAGGGTGCTCAGCACTTACAGGTCTGGATTAATCTTTTGTGGGCCCCGGTGCCTGGACGTGACCCCGCTCCGCCCGCGCTCTGCCCTGAGGCCCTGCCCCTGCTCGGCCTCTTCCCCCTAAGGCATCGCCCACCGCTCACACGGGGGGAGGGGGTGCAGAGGATCACACCCCCCCCCCGGCAAAAACAAAAGTCGGTGCCTCTGCCATTGACCCTGAATCCAATTTTTTGTTGGTTTGCAAAAAAAATGGAGATTTTTACTTTTTGTCCCAATTCAAGGTGGGAAAATTTGTCAATATCATGGACTATCTCAACATTTTTTGTGAGATGAGTAAATTGTGTCCTGCCCAGTTCTGTGAATGGACTTGTGCCTTGGCCTTCTGCACAGGGATGAGTTCCAACAGGCAAGCGTACTAGTCGGAGAAGGAGAAAATCTCCTTCTTCTGAAGCATCAGATATGGGCCGCTGCTGGAAGCGGCTAAAAGACATGAGGGAGCCATGGACTAATGCAAAACCGGTATGAGGAGAACTGTTCTTTCTGGCATGGAAACCTAATCTGCAGCCTGATCCTGCTTCCATTTTAGTCAATAGGAGTTTTGCCGCTGACTCGGGTTGGAGTGGGGATTACCCTGTAAGAGTCAGTTCTAAAGAGTTCAACCTGGAATGAGATCACAGGGACATTTCTTGGATTCCAATGGGGTTACATGACTAGAAAGGTACTTCTCAAAAGGCCAACGTAGATTGGGCAACCCTCAATGGCAGGCGGCCCCAATGACTTCAGTGGATAACTCCCTAGAGCCGCTAGGTAGCTGAGGGCAACGTGCTCCAGTCCTTGAATCTGAACAGTACCCAAGGCCTGAGAATTTGAGTCCTGTCCTCAGCAAGCTCCGGAGAACATCGGCTGCGTACGTCTGTGTAGTGAGCCTGAGTGGCCCCCTCCGACCGGAAAAGTGAGGGAGCCTTACACACCCCTGAGGGGGCGGAGCCTAGATCACCATGCCCCCCTCGCCGGAAGGACCGGGGCAGAGCTGGAAGTATAAGAGGCCGGCCCTGCAGCTCAGTGGGGAGAGAGCCGGCAACAGAGGAGGATGCTCGGCCTGTTCTCCAGAGGCCCCGAGAGGAACCAGCGCCCGACTGTTCCCGATCCCCAGGCGCGGACGAGGACTGGCCCGGAGTACCCGCGGCCGTTTACCCCGAAGAGCCGGAAGAGGCCTGGAGGCCGCAGGTACCAAACCCCGGGATGGTAGGAAGTAGTCCAGGGGCAGCCACGGAGCAGCCGGCTGCAGAACCCGGCGTGGCTCAGTCAGCGTGTTGCGGCTGGATCCCCGCTGACACAGGGGCAGCCAATCCTGCCCTTGCCAGGGCCCTGGGCTGGGACGCGGTGGAGTAGGGTGGGCCCGTGTCCCCCTGCCACCCCACCCTGGTGGCTGACCCCATACTCGGTGCAAGGAGGCCCTAGCCCAGTATAGGAGCTCCTTCACCACTCACCTTTGAGACTGTGTGCTTGCTGGCTACGTGAGCTCCACGCAGGCTAAGGCCAGCCCTGAAAGACTGTGTGTTGGCTAGTTGCCTGAGTTCTGCCCAGGCCCCAGACAACCCTGATAGACTGTAGCTAAGGGCTGATTACCTGGGCTACCCCAGTCCAGGTTAAAGCCCAGTACTGACTATTTGCCTGTCTTACAGACTCTGGTCCTGACCCCATAGGACTAGCCTGAGTGGCCCCCCTCCGACCGGGAGAGTGAGGGAGCCTTACAATCACTATACCCCTGACTGTGCATGAGTTATGGGCTTCTTTTAATGCCTGGCCTAGGGGTCTGGCTCCTGCTTGTGGTGCCAGAGGTCCTGGGTTTGAGTCCTGGGGAACGCCCTAGCAGCAGAAACGATGGTGATTCTAGCTCAGACAGGAATGTCTGGGGGAGGTTCTGAGGCCTGAGTTATGCAGACGGTCAGACTAGTTGATGTCAATGGTCTTTTCAGACCTTTGTGCAGCCCCTGTCTCCCAGATTCCCTCCAGCCTAGTGGGTGGACGATGAAGCGCACAGAGAGGAGAGACGCGAGCTGTATGTTAGATGCACAACGAGAGCGGCCCTCTGTTTGTGCTGGCTCCCTGTCAGGGCCTATCCGCTGTCCCCTGAGATTTCCACGTCATGCCCATGCACATTGTTTTCTGCTAGTCAGAATGGTTTAACGCTTTCCCTGGCCCTGCAGGGCGAGTGCTGCTTGGGCAAATCAACCTGCTTCTTCTGTGTGTTTCAGCCCTCACCTCTAATAACAAGCCTGCCCACAGACGCAGCTGGTACAGTTGCTGGCTGTTTTCTGGGGCCGAAGGTGGTGTGGGAGCATATAAGAGATAGCCGGCTCGTGCTCACATCAAACTGGGGTGTGGCGCTGACCCTTGCAGCAGAGGACTCAAAGACCCGTGGAGACCAAGTTCTCCAGACTCCTAGAGGTGTTCCCACCACGTCAGGGTGAGGGGCTAGGTGTGTGCACACAGGGAGTTGGCATTGTCACTGCCCATGTTGTACCAGAAATGGAGGATTCTGGTCTCCAGGGCTATCACTCCAGGACTTTTCAGGAGTGCTACCATTCATTCCCGCATATTAGATTCTTCCCCATTATACTATAATGCCCATGTGCACAAATACAGCCTCTTTGTGTGTCGGGGGGTTAGCCACTGAAGGAGAAGACTACGGTACAGGTGAAGTGACGTACAGCATGGGCTAAATAAGTAACCAAGGGTCCCCCCATTTCTAAAGAGGCAAATGTAACAACTACTACTAGGCAGTGTTTGCCCCACTTACTTGTCAGTTGGGGCCTGTGGCTGATGCAAGGATGGGCTGAGACAGACGAGCAAACAGCAGGAATAAATGGTCAGTGTTCACCACGGGCGTTGGGTATTTTTTTTATCGTGCACTTAGCTAAAGGATCAGACGACTCAAAAGAATAAATATGGCTTGTGTGCACCCAACGGAAGGGGAAAGGGAGACAGGCAATTGCAAAGTGTCATGTGGGGAAATCAAGCACAGGGAAATTTCACACTTGATTAAATTCCCTTCAGCTGCCTAAAAGTGGTGGAAGTCCCATTTGTTTGGGACACTTGTAGGGTGACCAGATGTCCCAATTTTATAGGGACAGTCCTGATATTTGGGTTTTTTTCTTATATAGGCTCCTATTACCCCTCACCCCCTGTCCCGATTTTTCACACTTGCTGTCTGGTCACCCTAGACACTTGCAACTGGACTGGGTGAAGTTGCACAGGAGAAGGTACCACAGAGTAGAATTGCAGGGGACGGTCCTGCTGAAGGGGATGGACTAGGTGATCCAATAGGTCATTCCCATCATTAATTTCAAGGCTGCCGTCACAAGGAAAATCCCTCCGGTGCCCAGAATAAGAAGCCGCGCAGGAGAAGCCAAGCTGAATAACGAATGCATTTTCCAGTGCCGGCGCGTGATCAGTTCTGACTGGTTTCGGATAGCTCTCTACACTGAGGCTTCCCTACCGTTAGTTAACAAGGATCAAGGGGGGGTCTGGTATGTTTGCCCAAGGCAGATGTCAATTTCACACTTGATTAAATTCCCTTCCTTTCCTCCCTCCTCCGAAAGGGAAGAAGCTTTTAGTTTGGTAAATAATGTTTTCCTTGCAGATCCTCAGCAGGGGTGGTAACAGTTGCCTCATTATCCTCAGGAAATCGTGTATTTCCCACACACACAGCTCTGCCAATGCCCCTCAATCCAAACCCGCAGCCCCTTGCTATCCCAGCCCTGGGCTTCCCACCCAAGACTCTGCCAATGCCCCTCCTGGGGGCCCCACACAGCTCTTCCAATGTCCCTCGCTCCTGACTCTCAACCTGTTGCTATTCGAGCCCCTATGTTCCCCTACTCTACCTACTCTATCAATACATCTCAATCTTGGCCCACAACAGCTGTACCACCTTGTGTGCGGGTTTTGTGCTGAGAGACAGAGATTACTTTATGAAAGCCCTTCTCTTGGGCCCAACATTGCAGATCTCCAGAGATTTCGATTTGTTGGTGCCTGATGGTCGTCCCTGGATCACCTTCGGTCAAATTCATCCTTGGCGTTGAATCTGATGGAGGCAGAGCCCACCCTGAGACAGCACACACACACACACACACACACACACACACACACACGGCACTGTTGTCACAGGCATTCCATCTTTCTCTTCTCCACCATTTGTTCCTCTTCTGAGTCTCACGTGCATGGGAGCGGGATGTTGGCCTCATGGGTTCTAGCATCTACATCTGAACCTGCTGTCTTTGCCTTCTGTAAGTGGCATCGCAGCCACCCAATGGGGTGGGCGCAAGGGAGGGGTTTGATGCCCACAGACGGGGAGCAAGCGTTTGGCTGGCTGAACTCGAGGGCAGAAGGGGCTATTGCGGTCAGCTAGTCTGACCTCCTGCAGGCCAGAGAACAATTCCCAGTTTGACTAGAGCAAATCTTCTCGAAAACCATCTCACGCAAACATTCACAGACAGAGTGGGGCTTTAAAACCTCCAGCCTGGTGGGGAGAGGGCTGTCTCTTTACATATTATGGGCAAAGCCACCCAGGAGAGGAGCTGGGGAAGGAGAGAGATCCCGAGGCAGGGGAATAGGAAGGACAGGTGTTTGCGGGGGAGAGGACAGGGGAGGGGAGAGCTAAGGGGTCCTGGGGGAAGGGAGGGGAACAAGAAGTGGTAGCTGTGGTGGTGAAGGAGAAGGGTTGTGGGGGGAGTGATTGGGGGAAGGGATGGGGAAAGCACTGCCCATGAACCGCTGACGTTGTTTTTCTCTTTCAGTGCCTGGTGCTGGCATCGCCCGATGGTGCAGGGACGTCCCTCAGGCTCACCACCTGCCTGCTCGCCACATCTGCCTCTTGGCCCTTAACTGGAAATGCCCTTAAGGAGCCAGCACCCTGCCCCACGGTGCCCTCTTCCCCCCAGCGCCGGCACCCCTCCCTGTGCCCCCGCCGCCCCCTGGCCTGCACCATGACAGGGGCCCTGCTTGCTTCCTGCGGAGGGGTGCGCGGCAGGTTGAGTGGCTCTGGCTGAGGGATGGCCTCTCTGGACCTGCCCTACCGCTGTCCACGCTGCGGGGAACACAAGCGTTTCCGGAGCCTCTCCTCGCTGCGGGCCCACCTGGAGTACAACCACACCTATGAGACCCTCTACATCCTCTCCAAGACCAACAGCATCTGCGATGCCACCGTCTTCCCCTTGGCGTCCGATGCCACCCTGCTGACCCCGGCCGCCCGCCGGGACATCTTCGAGAGCACCTCCTTCCAGGGCAAGGAGCAGCGCTTTGCCTGCGACCTCATCTCGGCCGACGAGCTGGAGCCCGTCTCCTCCTCTGCGTCCCGCTACGTGCACGAGATCGAGATCCCGCTGACCGAGATCTTCACCCGCAAGGCCATGAGCTCGGCCACCACCCCTCCCGCTGCTGCCGCCGCCGCCGCTGCCGCCGCAGTGGATGCCGCCTATGAGGAAGGCCTGACCCGCCTGAAGATCCGGGCCTTTGAGAAGCTGGAGGTGGACAAGCGGCTGGAGAAGCTGACGGAAGAGGTGGAGCAGAAGATCGCCTCGCAGGTGGGCCGGTTGCAGGTGGAGCTGGACCGGAAAAGCTCAGAGCTGGAGAAGGCCAAGCAGGAGAGTGTGAGGCTGAGCCGGGAGAAGCAGGAGCTGGAGGACCGGGCGACGGAGCTCTCCCGCCAGGTCGACGTCAGCGTGGAGATGCTGGCTTCCCTCAAGCAGGACCTGGTGCAGAAGGAGCAGGAGCTGACCCGCAAACAACAGTGAGTTTCTGCCCCTTCTTCCTTGCAGGGGGAGGTGTGCATGTGCTCCCTTGCACACACTAACGTGCTTCCGTGTGTTCTCATGTTTCTGCAGCAGTGAACATGTCTCTGTGCTCCTGTGTGATTCTGTGTGTGCATGTTTCCACTTTCAGGGTGTGTGGGTGTGTGTGTGTGTGTGTGTGTGATTGTCACACAGATACAGGCCAGCTCCTCGGCTGCTGTCCATCAGCACTGCCCTATTGACAATAAGCCGTGCCATCGAGGAATGTAGGACCTGCCATACTAGACCTTCTGGATCTAGATTGGCTTTACCAAGCTTAATGCTTTCGTACCCCTTCCAGACTGTTAGCATTAACTGTTATAACTGGGGCTACTTTGTCAGCCATGTAAATGTCCATTCCTCGTTTTAAGCCCGCTGAGGCTCTGACGCTCGGACATGAGAGATGCAAAGGACCGAAGAGATCGTCCAACCCATACCTCACAGCCAATGCAGGGTTGGTCCATTACAGGAGCTTGTCTAGTGTTCAGTCCACTCTAGTTTTAAAATGTCCCAAGCGATGTGGCTTCCGCTCTTTTGAGGCTATTTGACAGCTTGATCCATCTCCCTGCCAAGCAGGACTTCCTTGATTGAAGCCTTCCTATTTTCCTCCCATAACTCCAGTCATTAGCCCTCACATCTTCTTCCCCTTCTGGATGTTTCAAGTCTTGCAAGTCCTGGGCTATCTGGTCAATGCTTAGCCACACTAGATCTGTTTCCTCTCTTCCCTTTAGTCAGTCCTTCCAGCCTCATGATGGTTTTTGTTGCACTTCTCTGAACTCCCCCCCCGTTTGGGCACCATGATGCCCACCATGCAATACAATATTCCAGAGATGGTCACAGCGCCCCCTGCAGCGAAGAAGTATTCCCTCTGCTAGTTGGGAAATGTGTTTTATTTCTTGTGAATAATGTAGAAGAAAATGAAATTTGGAGGGATACATACCAGGGAGGGAGAAGAGCCATTTCAGCTAAAGGAGAGTGGTGGGCCCAAGACCAAATGGGAATTAATTAGCCATGAGTAGGTCAAGGCTGGAAATCAGAAAAGTGTTTCTAGCCATCAGAGGAGGGCGGTTCTGGAACAGACCCCCAATAGGAGCAGGCAGTGGGGGGAACCTAAGGAGGGTTAAGACGGAGCTTGGTAAGTTCCTGAATGGGATGATGTGACAGGGTTGCCTGGGAAAACATGGACTGGACTTGATGGCTCAGGAGACCCCGTCCAGTCCTACATTTTTCTGAAACATATTTGGTGGCACCGAAACGTCGGTGAAAAAACAGTGGGCGTTTCAGAGAAAAACGGACAGCTCAAAAAGCCAACCCTGATTCGCTTTTGCTTTTCAGTTGTCAGAATCTGAAACGTTTGCCGTGAAAACCTGAAAAAACATGGCCGACGCTAGACGTTTTCCTGCGCTATGTCCAGTTCTTCCGAAAGGCAGTTTTCATTGAAATACTAATGCTGGCAAAAGATTTCCAACTAGCTGTCATGACATCCCTGTGCTGAAACGAGATGTCTCTGTGCATAGAGCCAAGGGAGTCCACCATTTGGGTTGGTGTTGCCGTTGCTGTACTGCATCACAAACTCAGGTCTGTTCTGCTTTCCCCTTCCCGCCTGAGGGCTGCTTCAGTATAGTTGCTTTCCAGATTTCACCCTCCTAACAAAGATCTGCCCTTTGGATTATTTCCCCCCAGATGTCTTCCCTTGTATTTTCTGTCCATGTCTCCAGCTTCTCCAGGGGCCAGATCTCAGCTTGTGTAAATCAAACTAACTTAATTGACTTCAGAGGAGCTACCGTGATTTACACGAGCTGAGGACTTAACCTGGTAGGTCCTTTTGTGTTAGTTCTTGGTCCTTACGGATGTCACAATGCCTCTCATTTAGGATCCTCTGTGGATTTAACTAATGTGACATCTACTCTCTCTTCCATATCATGAATGGAGATGTCAAATAAGATGGGACATCAGCCACGACTCCTACCCTACTCTCACATCCCGCCCTTCATCTGCTACCCTGCCATGTATCATTACCCTTTGTTTATGGCCTTCCGGCCAATTTTCCATCCATGCAACAGTGTTCAGATCCCTGCTAGCTTAAATTAATTGCTCAAGTAAGATTTTACAAGCCAAGGTATAAAATGTTTGACTAAAATCCCAGTACGTTACAGCGGCTGCATTCCCATCCTCTGATAAATTTGTAATCCTATAAAAAAAAAAAGCCAATCAAGGTCGTTGGACTTGATTTATTCCTTGTAACCTCTCAATGCTGCTTATTGCTCACCGTCTGTTTATCCTGCGTACTTGGGATCTGTTTTTACTGTGGTTATTTGTCAATCGTTTCACCAGGGACGGCTCCAGGCACCAGCTTGTCAAGCAGGTGCTTGGGGCGGCCACTCCGGAGAGGGGCGGCACGTCCAGCTATTCGGCGACAATTCGGTGGACGGTCCCTCACTCCGCCTCGGAGTAAAAGGACCTCCCGCCGAATTGCTGCCGCAGATCGTGATCGCGGCTTTTTTTTGGCTGCTTGGGGCGGCCAAAACCCTGGAGCCGGCCCTGCGTTTCACTAGGGATAAATGTGGACAGATGAGGCAGTAATCGTTAAGGTCTCTCTTCTTCCACTGTTTGAATATCAACGCTACATTTGATTTTCCCGTCTTCTGGTCCCAGTCCCCCAGGATTTCCCCCCGTGTAGTGAGCTCCTCAGTTAATTCCCCAAGATGCATGGCAGCTGGGCCAGAAGTTACTGTATGGGCCCATTTTCCAAATATTTCCTGACCTGATTAATATCAATGTTCTTCCCAATTGCTCCTACTTCGTTTTTGGGAACGACGCATTTACAAAAAGGGCTCGACATCTTAGCCAGTTTCAGGTCATTCATTTCAACCTCCTCCTCATTTATCAGTGGCTCCGGGTTCTCCCCAGCCCTTGTTTCTCCCTGACATGGTTGTGAATGGTCTTGAGACTCCCATTAACCCCTTTGGCTAGACTGAACCTATTTCACTATTTTCTCTGCCAGCTGCTGTGTGTGTGCTTGCCAGCCGTGCCCCCCCACACACACTTTTGTTCCACTTACACTGCGGGCGCACTGTGAATGCATTTTTTACCTCAGATCTTCAATCCACTCCCACCTGAAGAGTTCATTGGTTCTTTGCCTAGTTCTTTTTCGGAGACTCTGCAGGCTCTTTGGGCCAGGGAACCTCTTTCTCTGATGTTTGTACCGCACCTGGCACAAAGGGGTCCTGTTCTTTGATTTGGTGGGAAGAAAAATAATACTAATTAATAATCACCTGATCATCTTAATTATGACAGCCCTGCTCCCTCTTCCTCCCATCCCCTTTGACTGTCCCCTATTCCACCCCATCAACCCCCAAATACAAACCTGTGGGACTCTGGCCTTATCCTTAGACTGTAAGTTTTTGGGGACAGAGACCATCTTTTTGGTCTGTGTTTGTACAGCACCTCACACCATTGGGTCCCATTACTGGGGCTCATAGGCACTACCGTAATACACCTGCCTAATAGCAATAAAATATACAGCACCTATCACAATGAACCAGGACCCCATTACTAGGGCGCCTAGGCACTACCGTAATACACCTGCCGAATAGCAATAAAAACGTACAGCACCTAGCACAATGAACCAGGACCCCATTACTAGGGCTCCTAGGCACTACCGTGATACACCTGCCGAATAGCAATAAAAACGTACAGCACCTAGCACAATGAACCAGGACCCCATTACTGGGGCTCCTAGGTGCTATTGCAGAGTAAATGATAAATAACACCACTAATAATCCTGGCGCGTGTGGCCAGCCCTCACTGCTCACCGTGGCCCTGTTTCTGCACATCTAAGGAGTCCCATTAAGTCCAGGGGGGTTACTCACCTGTGTAGCGTCACTCCAATGCATCCAGTCAAGCTCCACTCTGAGCTGCAGGCTCCTCTCCAGAGTCCCTCGGATGTTGTAGCGGGACGACTCCAGGCAGGTATTTATTCGGAGGGGAACAAAACCCAGTTTTGCTAAAGGGGGTGCGAGTGTCTTTACATGCTGTGTTTCTGCCAGTGCATTTCCTATGACAAAAAGCTCCCGTCACAGGCGAGATTTCCAGGGTTCTGCAGTGCGGCGGGTGGGTGGCAGGTGTGTGTATTACAGTGATCTATGCACACAGCGGTAATTGTGTTGGATACTGAGATGAAGCTGGTCTGTTTCTGGGCTTTGGGATTTTATTGTAAATTTCCGTTCAAACGCCGAGGCTGATTCCCAGTCTCCCTCCCGGGGGCCGTCCTCTGGAGCACGTCCATCCGGCCGTGAGGCGCAGTCGTGGCGAGACGCTATTAGCGGCGCGACGCAATGATGTGCCGCTGCTTGGGTTGCGGCATGAGTCACAATACACTTGTGTGGGGCTGCGTGACGAGCTGCACATCGGGGCAGGGAGCACTTTGCTGCTAGCAGAGAGAGACGGAGCTGCCCTCCGCGGGTGGAGGCTTCTTCCTTGCTGATGTCCTGGAGCAGGCGTCACCGTGTGGCCACTCAACACTGAGTCCCCAAACCCTATAACGATCCATGATCGTAGCGCGTAGGAGCTAGGCACCGGACAAGCACCGAACTAAGAGCCAGCCTCTGCCCCAGCACTCGCGTTTTGCCAGGCACACCCTGCCTTAAGCCAAACACCCCCCAGCCTGGCATCTGGCTGGGAGAGACCCCGTCGGGCAGGCACTGAGCCTCTGTGCTCCCTTTGCAGCAGGGCTGCTGCTGGGCGTGGAAGATTCGGAGGCTGTCCCAGAGCTGCGGTGCAGCTCAAAGGAACAAGCCCCAAAGGGAGGTGAGGTGGATACTAAAGGGCACGGGGAGGCTGGTGGGGCTATGAGAACATATACCATTGCTCAGTTCCCGTCTGTGCTTAGTTAATTTAAAAGGGCATTTGCAAAGAGATGGGCTCTCCGCCCTCCTTTAATATAAATACACGGGATAGTCAGAGCCCCAGACACGACAGCTTCCCAGCAGTACCAAGGGATAGCGCTGTGGGTACAACACAGCCAGGCTGGCCCCACTCTGGGGTAGAGAGCGTGGCTTGGCTCCCCTCTGAACCGGACTGAGACTGACTCAATTCAGAGGCCCCCCGCAATTGTTGGGCACTGCTGATCTAGGCCGGATTTGACCCAGTGACCCAGCCTGGAAATGTCCAGTCGCTTTTCACAAACCCTCTGACCCGTCCAGCCCTAATGTGCAAACAGCGCTGCGGTCTTCTTCCAGTCATAACCCCAAAGCCTGGTCGTGACTCCAGTGGTCGCTGTAGTGTGCGGGGGGCTGTTGCTGCCGGAGATCGCACTGGGTGGGTGGGTGTGGATGCAATAGGTGACTCCGACGATAGCATTTTTATAAACGGGCATCTCCAGAGTTCCTCTGCTCCAGCTGCTGTTTTCACCCTCTGCCTGACGCCAGAATTTCCTGCCAGGGCTAGCGCAGTGGGTGTCGGAGGCGGGCTTGGCTCCCGCAGGGTAGTGACGTTAGTGGTGGCACCATGCTGCCGGAGTAACTGAGGCCCAGACGATCCAAGCCCCGACTCTGTTTATTGGCGAGTGAGGGACGCCGCTAGCCAGGGTCCGAAGTGCAGGGGGGCAGGATCAGGCCCGTAGGGGGGGTCTTAGGCAGAATCTGTGCACAGCTTTCCTCATTGCCCTGGCCCCACCTGCGAGGGGTGAAGTGACCCCCATGATTTCTCTGGCTCTGCTATTAAACGGAGCAGGAGCCAGAGTTGCTTCAGTGAGAAGTAGCAGGTCTCGTTTTCCGAGCCCTCTGTTCCAGCCAAGTGCCTCTGGTGGACAGAAGTGACCGATCTGATGCTGAATGTCCTCCGTGTCAGCCCCTTCCCAACACAGCCAATCTGGCTAGAGAAGTCGCCTGGCTCTGCCCCCTTCTGGTTGAGTCCCCTCCCGCCCCGCTCAGGACCCCGGCCCTGCATACCAGTAAGTCCTTTAAGTTACTTTCACCCCTGGCCGAGATGATCCCGCCCGAGAAATCCAGTCTGCCAGGAGCTCTGTATCCCACCTCCAGCTCCGTTACAGATCTCCTGGGTGAGCTAGTGGCTACCAGGATACCTGCATCTAACTGAGACTTGGTGGGCAAGTAATTTCACCACTTTGTACCTTGGTCTTCCCTTCCCTAAAGCAGGGCTTGTAATATTCCATCTAAATGCATCAGAAGGTAAATAGCCTGACGGCACCTCTTCCCTCAGTGATAAACCCTGCAGAGGGATGGTTACGGTCACTGGCAGGGCAGAGTTGGCCCCAAGTTAAGATTCCGGGGTTCACGTGCACCCTGTGTTCCCTGCCTGTCGGATCCTGGCACAGAAGATAAAGCTGGCCAGTATCTTCCTGGTGCCCCGGGCCCGGCAAGGCTGGCATGTGGGAGGATGAATGGGTCTGTGGATGAGGGGAAAGCAGTGGATGTGTTATTCCTTGACTTTAGCAAAGCTTTTGATACTGTCTCCCACAGTATTCTTGCTGCCAGGTTTAAAAAGTATGGGCTGGATGAATGAACTATAAGGTGGATAGAAAACTGGCTAGATCATTGGGCTCAACGGGTAGTGATCAATGGCTCCATGTCTAGTTGGCAGCCGGCTTCAAGTGGAGTGCCCCAAGGGTCGGTCCTGGGGCCGGTTTTGTTCAATATCTTCATTAATGATCTGGAGGATGGCGTGGACTGCACTCTCAGCAAGTTTGCAGATGACACTAAACTGGGAGGAGTGGTAGATATGCTGGAGGGTAGGGACAGGATACAGAGGGACCTAGACAAATTAGAGGATTGGGCTAAAAGAAGCCTGATGAGGTTCAACAAGGACAAGTGCAGAGTCCTGCACTTAGGACGGAAGAATCCCTTGCACTGTTACAGACTAGGGACCGAGTGGCTAGGAAGCAGGTCTGCAGAAAAGGACCTAGGGGTTACGGTGGACGAGAAGCTGGATATGAGTCAACAGTGTGCCCTTGTTGCCAAGAAGGCTAACGGCATTTTGGGCTGTATAAGTAGGGGCATTGCCAGCAGATCGAGGGACATGATCGTTCCCCTCTATTCGACATTGGTGAGGCCTCACCTGGAGTACTGTGTCCAGTTTTGGGCCTCACACTACAAGAAGGATGTGGAAAAATTTGGAAAGAGTCCAGCGGAGGGCAACAAATGATTAGGGGTCTGGAGCACATGACTTATGAGGAGAGGCTGAGGGAACTGGGATTGTTTAGTCTGCAGAAGAGAAGAATGAGGGGGGATTTGATAGCTGCTTTCAACTACCTGAAAGGGGGTTCCAAAGAGGATGGATCTAGACTGTTCTCAGTGGTACCAGATGACAGAACAAGGAGTAATGGTCTCAAGTTACAGTGGGGGAGGTTTAGATTGGATATTAGGAAAAACTTTTTCACTAGGAGGGTGGTGAAGCACTGGAATGGGTTACCTAGGGAGGTGGTGGAATCTCCTTCCTTAGAGGTTTTTAAGGTCAGGCTTGACAAAGCCCTGGCTGGGATGATTTAGTTGGGATTAGGTCCTGCTTTGAGCAGGGGGTTGGACTAGATGACCTCCTGAGGTCCCTTCCAACCCTGATATTCTATGATTCTATGAACTGGTGCAGGGCATGTGGGGCAAAGCTTGAAGGGGATCAGGGTGGGAGGAGGTTGGGTGGGGTGGGTTATACGTTGCGGTGGGCCAAGGGACAGGGTTGGGGTGGGGTTATGGGTAATGGGATGAGGCTGATGGAGGGTGGGAGGTGGCAGGGGCTTGGCATCTCTGGAAATCAGACCACTAACCTTTGTGCCTCAGTTTCCTGGTCGTTCCAACAGGGCTGGTGATACTCCCCTGGTTCCCAGAGCTTTGCGAGCTGCCGTGTGGCGGAGGGCGGCGGGATCCACCGGGGGAAGGACGGCCTGACTACGTTTTCACCTCTGCCTCTCGCTGTCTCCCCTGCACCAGGGAGGTCGTCCAGATAGACCAGTTCCTCAAGGAGACGGCGGCCCGCGAGGCCAACGCCAAGGTGCGGCTGCAGCAGTTCATCGAGGAGCTCCTGGACCGGGCCGACCGGGCGGAGAAGCAGCTCCAGATTATAAGCAGCAGTTGCAGCACCACCCCCAACGGCAGCCTGGGACGGTGCAGCGTGCCCGGCTCCAAGGGCGCCAGCAGACCGGTATCTCCTCTTAGCGTCGGGTCGATTGTGCCATGCTCTATGGGAAGCCACCTTCCTCCCTGGGTGCTTTTGCCAGCCTTATCTCTCCCGTCTGTGCGATTGTGTAGTAAGGGCTGCTTGCCTTGCAAGCTAAGCAACATTGAGTGGGATCGATGGTTGGATGGGAGACCACCGTGGAAAATGTTCTGGGACTGGCGGGTGGTGGTGGTTCATGAGAGGCCCCTGATTCAGTACTGAGCCACTGTCCCATCGCTACTTGAGGAGACTGGCCCAGTGGACTAGTTGACCTCTTGAGGTTCCTTCCATCCCGACGTATCTACTATTAAAAGCTCCCCTAGTGCTCTTGCTAGAGCAGGGCTGTTAGCCCCAGGCTCCGCCCACAATTTCCAACCTAGGGAACAATCTTCAACATTAAGAAAAAAAAAGGGTGGATTTTGGGGAGGGGCCAATTTGCTCGTCAATCCCCCTTTCTGTGGTAGTGCTCTTGGGGCACAATAGCATGCACAGTCCACCCCAGAAGTGGTCACATTTCAAGGGCAAGTTAAGCCCAGCCTGTAAAGTGCAAGGCGCTGTATAAATGGGAGGTTTTGTTGGTCTCATCCTGCATCTTTGGACTGGCGAGCAGACTCCAAGGTGGGTGGGGAGTTGTGCCGGGGCTGGAACCGACCCTGTTGGCCCATGTGGCACAGCTGGCCAAGGAGCTATTACACCAGTGTCAGCTCTCAGTGCCTGGCATGTCCACACGCAGTCAGTCAGGTTATCCCCTGGGGGAGGCTTTAGCCAACTGGCTTTTCCCTCATTGAATGAGTCTGAAAGGCTTTCAGTGTCTGGTCTCCTTTTCTTCCTTCCTTTCGCCCCAGAGGGACAGGCACGCCGGCCCCGGGGCAGCTACCCACAGCTCCTACGTGGAGTCCAATCAGAGATCGTCTTCTAGCACTGGGTAAGCAATCTCCATACACCTTGGCCTTGTCTTTTGCCCAGCATCCTTTTCCCATAGGGGAGCCTTTCCCAGCATGAAACAGGGCTGGGCCCGGATCAGTGCCTATGTTGTCCATGTACGTGCGCCCACACAGCATGGGCAACTCCTGGCTCATATCCTCTCCAGCAGACGGGGGCTGGCTGAGTGGGTTTTGCTGGTGGTCCCTAGGGCGTGGAAGAAGCCTGTGGTTCCTTTCCGGTGGAATTCTCTGCCGGCGGCTGGCAAATGCCCACCCAGAAACTGTCTTCTGCGACAGCCTGAAATTCTGCTTCCTAGCTTCTTTGCATGTGCTAAGCCTTCCCGGGTTCACAGCCAGTCGGAGTAGCATGAAGGATGGCGTTTTTTTTCCTTTTGATCTGCCTTTCCTTTTCTTTCAAACTTGGACCTGGGTGGCTGCCGGTCTGCCCGGTCCTTTGGAGGGTGGGGGGGGAATGTCACAGCTGGACGTGTCTGTATAACTGATCTCAAGCTGTTTGCCATGTTGAGTTGCAGAAATGCTTTGAAGTCAGAGATCTGAAGGAACCGGGATAGGTGGGTGGGTTGATTCTTCTCCTCTCGCCCTGTGATCTTGTGGGAAGCACCAAGGCGTAAGACTGGGCTGCAGAAATCTTTACTAGAACAGGACAGGGACGTTTTGACATCCGGCCTCTTTTAATAGTGTGTTTCCAAGCAGTTAAGGTGCATTTGACCCAGATGTGAGGCTGAAGTTGCATCTGAATCACGGTGGTGTCTCTGAAAGGTTTAATGGAACGGTATAGCTGGAAGAACGGACTTTTCCGCCCAAGCCCCAGCTGGGGCTGGGCTCTGAGATCTGCGCTTTCAGCTCTATTAAGCGGGTGACCCCAGGTACCAGCAGGAGAGGCGGTTCCCATTGTCTCGGGTGTCGGGAATGAGAGAGAGACAACAGGACACTCAGTTCACTGGCTCTCGCTCTAGGACTGACTGTCCGCTCAGATCTTTTTAAATGCAGTGGATTCCGCTCATTACCGACCCCTCGGTTGCCCGCAGAAAGTTGCTGTTATCTGACGGCTGCCAGTGAGTGAAGGCAGGTTTACGAGGCTGCAGCCAGGGAGGGAAGTGCTGGGTTGTGCCATCCCTGGCTGCCGCCCTGCCAACCTGTATCCAGGCAGGGCAGCAACGGGGGCTGCAGCCCAGAGGCCTGGGCTTTCTAGAGGAAGCAGGGGAGCTCGGGACCCCACAGAGCTGTCCGGTACCCCCTCTCTGGGGGTTACGGCTCAGCACGTCCCAGCATTTCCTTCCCTGGGTGCAGCCTCGTGGCAGAGTGCAGGGAGAGATATGCAGCTCTAGCACCCAGCCTCTCTCCCCGCTACTGCCTTGCCCACAGCCTCCCCTCACAGCCCCTTAACTCCTGTGCGGTCCTGTGTGCAGGCAGGTTTGCGGGGCTGCAGCCCCGGAGGAAGCTCCAGGACATGCTGAGCACCGGCCGCAGGCAAGTAAGGCACATCCCAGCACTTCTTTCACCGGCTGCAGCCTTGCAAGCCTGCCTGCCGTTGGGACCTTTCTTCCACAAAGTGCTGCTAGTAAGTGCATGCCGCTAGCCGAATCCCATGAACTTTAAAGTCACTGGGATGGGACTGGTTCCCTGCAAAATGTTGTTGTTAACCGGGAGTTGTCCATATCCGGGTTGCTATTAAGCAGAACCTAATGTATATTAAAATAGCTGGCAGTGCATCTTTTTGCCATACGGAGGTAGATTCCTCCCTAACGTAACTCTCTTGATTTAGTGGCATTACCCCAGAGATGGGTTTGGCCCACTCGCTCTTTGTAAGCATAGGAGCGTTAAGGGGAGTTGAGCCCTTTATCCTAGACTAGGTATCCCCCTCAAATTCCCTGGAGCTACAGTATGGACTGGCCAGGTGCTCGCTTTCTCCTCGTTGCCTGTCCTGCAAATGGCTGATTTCTGGGAAGTGCTGTCTAGAGCCCACCGCCACCCTCTCTGGCTCTGTCTGCACTGTGACCACAGGGCGTGACAGCCGTTTGTGTAGATGGAGCCTAGCTAGTCCAGCTACCGGCCACAGCCTTCAGCACGGGTGAGTCCCACCAGGAACTACCCAGGGTTCCAGGTGGCCCATGCTGAAGTGCGGGTTGTCACGGCTTCCCTGCTCCAGGAGCCAGGCTAGGGAGATGAAAACTGAGCCGCACTCACGCCCTGTGATCACAGTGTAGACATGCCCTATGGGGCAGGGGACTAGAGGAACCAAATGCAGCACAACCTCTGTTTTAATGAAGTCCCAGTTAAACCAGGTTCATGCCTCCCAGGCTGGCCCCGAGCCTGACTTCTCTCCAGCTAATCGGCTGGCCTCTTCACCACCTGCTGCAAAGGGCCGGCTGCCTCGTAGGCCTGGGGGCCCCCCAGTGCCAGGTGGGGGAATGTCAGGCGGCTTTAGGCAAACTGTCCTAGAAACTCAGGGAAGTTGCAGGCTGGGAACATCTGATGGGACACTGCTAGCCCTGCCCGCTCCAGATGAGCTATCCCCTAGCCATGTCTTCGCCATCGAGATACAGAGACCCCTCCATGTGTCTGAAATAAACGGGGCTCTTCTGAAAGCAGGACTTTGGGGTTTGGGGTGCGCGGCCACCCCACCATCCCTGGAGCTCTGGATCCAGTTCCCCACCGCACCCCCTCATGGCTGCGTATCCCCGCAGGGCCTCCAGCCGGGTGAAGGCCGTCTCCCAGAGCTCGGGCTGCTACGAGAGTGACGGCGCCGAGCTGTACCAGCCGGAGGAGAACGCCGACGGGCACCCCTACCACAGCGGGCAGAGCCGGGGCGTGGACGGCGGCTTCGAGCGGCCTGCGGCGGCCCGCAACTCGGGGCTCCGGAGGCAGGCCATCCAGAACTGGCACCGCCGGCCATACCGCAACAGCACCGAGGGGGAGGAGGGGGACGTCTCAGACGTGGGCTCCAGGACGACCGAGTCGGAGGCCGAGGTGTGGGAGCAGGACCCCCGGATCCCACCGGAGGCGAACCTGGCGAGGCCCCTCAACAGCTGCAGGCTGATGGGTGAGTCTCCATCCCGGTGGTGAGGGAAACCCCATTGCCCGGACATAGGGGCGACCCTGACCCACAGTTGGCTGGGAAACCCCGGCAATGGTGGTGACAGTTCAGTAGGTGGTGCTCTTCCCTCTGAACCCTGCACCTCCAGCCTGATGAAGGATGGGGGGGTACTGGTGCCTGGGGGAGATGGAAAACCAAGCTCCGAAGTAATGCACATTAAGCTACTCAATGGATTGTACCTGCTCTTGTAACGGACCTGAGCACCATTGTGGGCAGCTCAGTGAAAACCTCTGCTTGACGTGCCGCTGCAGCCAAAAATCACAACCAAGACGATGGGATGAAGCAGGAGTGGGGTGGAGAATAACACGGAAAATATTCCAATGCCTTTCTCCAAATCAATGGGGCGGCCTCATCTGGAGACTGGGTGCAGGGCTGGGCGCCCCACTTCACACTGGATATTGCAGAATTGGATTGGGTCAGAGAAGGGTGACCAGAACGATCAAGGGCCTGGAAAAATATGGGACTGTTACTTGAGAAAGATGACGAATAGGAGGAGACTGGATAAAAGTCTATAAAATGATCCCTGCCCTCGAGAAGGGAGATTGGGCTGCACATGGTCTCCGGCTGAGGCCGCCCCATGGATTGATAGAAAGTCAAGAATTTAGCAAATTGCAAAGAGGGATATGGCTAGTGGGAATGTCCAGACCTTGCATAACTAATGATAAAAACACTGGAAGAGATATTAGACCTCCTGCTTCAGGGCTATTAGAGACCAGGACAAGACCTTTCTTGGGGCAGATTATCTCACATCTGCTACGTTGGGTTCTTACGCCTTCCTCTAAAGCAGCTGGAGGTGGTGACTGTTGGAGACGGTGATCTAGATGGACCCTGGGCTGGATCCAGGCCAGCAATGCCAATATTCCTACCCCTTTGTGGTTGTTAAAGGTCCCCTGGCGCTTTCCATAAAAACGACACGAATCCCCATAATTACGTTCTGCCTCCTTCCGTTCCCCCTGCAGCTTCCGCAAGACACAGCGCTCTTCTTCACCTCTTCACAGACCAGAAGGGTCCGTCCCCATCATCTAGTCTGACCTCCTGCCTAACACAGGACGTCCCAGACTATAGTGGCATGCCGCTAAGCAGCTGCTGTGCTCCGCCCCAGCACTGGCTGCACGTCGGGGCTGAGTGACGTGATCTAGAGAGCGTGGGCAGGAGTCTCCCGGATGAGAGAGGCCCTCTCAGGGAATGCGAGGTGTTAGCATTGTAAATCAGAGCCCTGGCTTTTTCAACCCCATTCTGCCAGGGAGGTGAACTCGGTTACCATGGCGATGGAGCAGCTAAAACACTACAAGCCGGGGCATCAGGAATGTTTTTTCTTGCACATCCAAAGTGTGTTAGGGGACGATTGAGGGGGGTCCAGGCCATCAGAGCTAATGCTGGGACACGAGGCCGGATTCAGTTTAGGCCACTGGAGTTGCGATTGATTACACCAGGTCTACGAAATGGCCCGGGGTCTCCCCTCAGTGGGAGATGTGCTTGGCACAGTACCCGCACTAGCCAGGCCCTCTCTGCCAGGGACGAGGAGGATGGGCCGGGGGGGTCGATAAAAGCAGAGGACGCATTTCATGGCTGCACCCCAGATCTAAACCCCAGCCCGGTTCGCTCGCGGCTTGAGTGAGATGAGTTGCGGGGGGAAGGGGTCACACTTCGGCTCCGGGTCTGCGCTGCAAGAACTGCCCGCACGTTTGCCCCCCCGGCACGTTGGTTGCAACCCGGGGTGAGCCTGGAAAACGAACTAGCCTCTCGCTGTGGGAGGAGCCGCCCCTAGCTGAGGTTGAGGCCCATGGTGGGGCAGGGTGGGGGCCAACTGGCATACCCTGCTGCTTTCATGGAGGGGCGGAGGTGGATTCCTGGTTCCATTCTTTGGGCAGGATAGGGCCGACTGGAATTCCGGACTCCTGGGTTCCTTTCCTGGGGGGTGGGGAGCTGACTGGGATTCAGGACTCCTGATTCCATTTGTGGGGAGGTTGGAGGTTGCTGAGGTTCAGGACTCCTGGGTTCTATTCCTGAGAAGGGGGTGGGGCTGGCACTCAGGACTCCTTGATTCCATTCATGGTGGGGAGGGGACAGACTGGGATTCAGGACTCCTGGGTTCCATTCCCAGGGTGGTAGGAGGCTGGGATTCAGGACTTCTGGGTTCCGTTGTTCTCTTTGACCTTCGGCAAGTCACTGCACCACTCTGTGCCTCAGTTTCCCCCTTGTTCAAATGGGGATAACGATACAGACCAAACTCCCAGGACATCTGTTGTTGTTTATAAAATATTCCGGGATCCCCAGAGGGAAGGTGCTAGAAGAGGGTGAAGGGTTATTATTTTGAACGCACGCTGAGGCACAGGGAGCTGTTAGACGCCTGGGAAAACTTTATCCACAAACTCCACCCCTGACCCGCAGCCGCTCTCCTGTATTGTCCCCCACTCCCCGCACAATGCCCCCGCTGATGGTGTTTGTCACACAGCCAGGTCTGAGGGGGGCGGCGGGAAGGCCATCCGGCCCGAGAGAGGCAGCCCGTCCCGCTCCAACGAGGTGATCAGCCCGGAGATCCTCAAGATGCGAGCTGCTCTCTTCTGCATCTTCACCTACCTCGACACCAAGACCCTGCTGAAGGCTGCCGAGGTCTGCAAGGACTGGAAATTCGTGGCGCGCCACCCTGCCGTGTGGACCCGGGTGCTGCTGGAGAACGCCAGGGTGTCATCGAAGGTAAAGGGCCAGCCAGCCCTGGGGCTCCAGCCAGGCCCCACAGGGAACTTTCCGGGGCAGAGCCGGGCCCACAGAAACATCAGAGAGGGCAGCAATGTGGGGCCCATTTCTTAGGGGCTAACGCAGCCCCGCCCTTCCTTTCTGAGCCCCGGTTTTCTGTCAAAATCGGGATGGATATTTTTTAATACATGAAAACCGGGTTTTTCCCGTAGCTGAAACATTTTCATTTACCAAACAAACCCTTTGGTTGGTGTGTGCGCAGCGATGTAGCTGTACATGTGTGTTTGTGCGTGTTGTCCTCTGGGCCTGTCTCCGAGGTCTGTGATGGCAGCTGTGTGTGTGTGTTTGTGCATGTTGTTTGGGGCTGCTATCTCCAAGGTCTTCAGTGACAGCTGAGAGCATGTGCACCTCTCCCTCTATGGATACGGCCACGCTGCAAAGAAAAACCCACGGCACCGAGTCTCAGAGCCTGGGGCTGCGGGGTTAAAAACAGCAGGGTAGACGTTCCGGCTTGGGCTGAATCTTCCCCCTTCGCCGGGTTTCAGAGCCCAGGCTCCGGCCCGACCGGGAATGTCTACGCTGCTATTTTTAGCCTTGCAACCAGAGTGCTGGGATTTGGCGCCACGGGGGACCGGGTGTGTGTTTGCAGTGTAGACACACCCTGTGCATGAGCGCGTGTGTGCGAGTGGTGCTCTGGACCCACCATCCCCACCCAGGGGCAGGGGGAGAGGCCGGCGCTGTCTCGCCTGGTTGCAGGTTCTCCTGTCCCGGTGCGTGTCTCTTTCTCACTGGGCGTGGGTCTGGCTTCCCCCTGCAGTTCCTGGGCATGCTGTCGCAATGGTGCACCCAGACGCACTCCCTCACGCTGCAGAACCTCAAGCCACGGCTGAGAGGGAAGAAGGAGAGCAAGGAGGAGTACATGAAAAGCACCCGGTGAGCCCCCACGAGACGCTCCCCTTTCCACCTCCGTAGCCAATCCATCCGTTTCCATAAGGAGCTCATTTGCCAACACGGGCAGCGTCGCTGACCTTTTAATACCCGGGTCTCTGTTGTCCCATAGAGACATCACTGCTGCGGTAGCTCTGGCTTGTCCATTTAATGCTCCACTGGGAGAACGTTAATAGCTTCCAAGCTACAAGGGCTCCTGCCCTGAAGAGACCCCCGGTTATCAGTGCTTTGGTTCCTGTCCCTGGGATTGCTTAGTGCTGGTGGATCTCAGCCTCTTCCATACCAGAGCCCCCATTCCCATCCCAGTACCTCTGCGGGACCCCTGGGAACCCCCTCTCATTGACTGGTACAGAACAGGCAGGGTGGCCCCCAGCCGCGGTTGAGAACCCCTCCTTTAGTGCTTTGGTCGCTATCAGAAATGCAGTCCCTACTCATCCAAAATACTAGTGTCCCCCCACTGTTAATACTCCATTGCCGGGCAGGACTGAAACTCCTGCTGGCAGGAGCTGGGGATGTTTGCTATGGTATTTGTCTGAACAAAGCTGGGCTTGAAGGGCACAGAGCCGGCCGGGGACGGGCTGGGATGGTGGAGGCAGGACTGGGGGACAGGTTTGATGGAGGGTCGATAAAGGCCAGTCTTAGATCCGTGTAGCGGAGATCAATGAGACCTCGGCGGTGTTTGTCTGCAGCCGGGGTGAGGGTGCTAGTGACCTGCCTCCAGGACATCTTGGGATGGGAGAAGAGGAGCGGGAAAGGTGAGGATGGAGAAGAAACAGCCTGCAATGAGGCAGGGGAAGGAAGAAGGAGCAAATCCGTCACCCATACTAATCCAGGGTGCTTGAGACCCTTCCTGTGGGGTCTGGATCTGCCTTTGGTATTGCACGAGTCTGGGTCAGGCAGACAGGGCGAGGGAGGGGGAACACCCGCGTACGGTTGCCTGGCCTGGGCCCCCGCCACCCGAACCAAACGTGACGAGCAAGGCTGAGGAAGAGGAGGTGGCCTTCATCGCAGCATGGCTGCACTGACGGGTGGGAGCGAACTATGTCGTCTAGGCCCGGATCCTCAAAGGTACTTCGGCAGCTAACTTCCATTGAAATCCCTGGTCTCTAGTCCATGCCCCTGGCCAGGGCAGGGCTGCTCCTTGTAGCTTTTTCTCAGTCGCGGGTGAAGTGTCCCAAGGAACGGGGCTCCACCTTTCCTCCCAGCAGCTGCTCTCTGGCCTGGCCACTGGGCTTTCAGGGCTACGTTTCCCACGTTGCCCTTTGAGAGCAGGGGTAGCAGGGAGCGCTGCCACTGCTGAACTCTCTCTCTCCCCCTTCCCCGCTGGTTCCGTCTCCTCAGGGGCTGCCTCGAAGCAGGGCTCGAGTCCTTGCTGAAGGCCACGGGCGGGAACTTGCTCATCCTGCGGATTTCACACTGCCCCAACATCCTGACAGATCGCTCCCTCTGGCTGGCCAGCTGCTACTGCCGGGCGCTTCAAGCCGTCACCTATCGGTACGTGCACGAGTCCTGGGCCCGCCGGACCTCGCCGTGGGGCACGCGCTGGAGGGAGGCGGGCTGCCTGCCGCTCAGAGCATCTCGCTGAGCCGTGGCTTGGGACTTGGCGGCTTAGTCCTCAGGCTCCTGCTTGGTGTCTGCCCTGCTGCTCTTATGCAGAAGGGGGTTGAGGTAGCCAGGAGCTGGGAAGAGCTGAGCCTGCCCAGACCCACGTGGAATCCAATCGGTGCTCCTGAGGCGTCCAGAATCCCCAGCACTAGGCCCAATCTGTGGGACCTTCTCCTGGGTGACTGGGTCAGACTGGGCCCCCTGCCCTGATACACAGACCCAGCCCTAGACATCTGGGGATGCAAACTACCCTACCCTGTGCTGGTCAGTGGCAGGCGGCTCCAGTGCCCTGGATTAGCTGGCACTCGCCCCCTTTGCAGCCCCACCTCTCCAAGCTGGGCCGTCTGTTAGTTGCCCTCCAAATCTTGTTCCTCTCTCAAGTGCTGGGTGCTTCCTGGTGCAGCAGACAATGAGCCTCTGAAAAGACTCTGCGGGGGGGTTGTGAGCTGAGGGTTTCGTGGTATCGGGGATGTCGGGCTCTGGTCAGTATGAGAGACACGGATGGCATTCTAGGTCCTTCCTACTGTAGGCGTGCTGTCTAGTGCCAGACCGACAGACCGAGGCTTCCCGGCGTCTTTATCCGCAGTGTGGGCAATTGCAGGGCACCGCCCTACCCATGCACGCATTGTCGCTGACCTGGGGAGAGCCCTGGGAGGGTGGACATGGTGTCACCCAGGCCTGCTTGGTGTGGTGCTCTGTTCCCCCTCTAGTGGCACCTAGACCATCTAGAGATTCATAGAATCATAGAATATCAGGGTTGGAAGGGACCTCAGGAGGTCATTTAATCCAACCCTCTGCTCAAAGCAGGCCCAACCCCAACTAAATCATCCCAGCCAGGGCTTTGTCAAGCCTGACCTTAAAAACCTCTAAGGAAGGAGATTCCACCACCTCCCTAGGTAACCCATTCCAGTGCTTCACCACCCTCCTAGTGAAAAAGTTTTTCCTAATATCCAACCTAAACCTCCCCCATTGCAACTTGAGACCATTGCTCCTTGTTCTGTCATCTGCCACCACTGAGAACAGTCTAGATCCATCCTCTTTGGAACCCCCTTTCAGATAGTTGAAAGCTGCTATCAAATCCCCCCTCACTCTTCTCTTCTACAGACTAAACAATCCCAGTTCCCTCAGCCTCTCCTTGTAAGTCATGTGCTCCAGACCCCTAATCATTTTTGTTGTCCTCCGCTGGACTCTTTCCAATTTTTCCACATCCTTCTTGTAGTGTGGGGCCCAAAACGTATGCCAGACACAGTACGCCAGATGAGGCCTCACCAATGTCGAATAAAGGGGAATGATCACGTTCCTCGATCTGCTGGCAATGCTCCTACTTACACAGCCCAAAATGTGGCTAGCCCTCTTTGCAACAAGGGCACACTGCTGACTCATATCCAGCTTTTCATCCAGTGTAACCCCTGGGTCCTTTTCTGCAGAACTGCTGCCTTTCAGGGCTACTAGCCACTCGGTCCCTAGTCTGTAGCAGTGCATTAATGAGTCTGCTATAGCCTTAGCTAAGAGCCATCTGGCTTTTAGCTCATGCAGTAGAGGCTCATACACTAAGCTTCAGAGGTCCCGGGTTCGATCCCACCCACCACCGAGCGGGGTCTGTTGGCATTACGCTAGCCCAGGGGTCGGCAACCTACAGCACACCTGCAAAACACGGCATGCGAGCCGATTTTGAATGGCACGCGGCTGCCTGCCGCGGTTCCGACCCCCAGCTGCACTCAGCCCCCCCGCCCACCGCTCTCCCCTGCTGGGGCAGGAGGCAGAAGCTTCGTCCTGCAGCAGCCAAGCTCCCCCCTTCCCCCAGCCATGGTGCAGCCTGCTTTCCTGCCCCTCCTCTTCTCCTTCCCTGCGCCGGCCCTTGCAAAGGGAGGGGGAGGAGTGGCAGCGTGTTCGCTGCTCCGCAAAAGCCCCACAGCCCCGCTCTCCCGGCCGGAGCTCCAGCCGGCGCGTGGCAGCCCCGCGGCCCCTTGCTAAAGCCGCCCCTGGGTAAAGGAGGCAGAGAGCGGTAGGGACGGGGCGTTGGGGAAGGGGGTGCAACAGGACATATCCCTTCCAGCCCTCTGCCATGAGCCGCTCAGGTCAGGGGGCTGGGAGCACCCCGACGAGCCGAGCACCCCAGCCCTCTTCCCTGAACCCCCCCCACACCCAGCCTTCTACCCTGCACCTCCACACACTCCCCAACCCTCTGCTCTGACCTCTGAAGCCCCCCACA